ACACTCGAGAGGGGGCGAGGGAGCCGAACGGTTTTTCTTTACCACACGTACCTTCCTTTGTTCGTCTTATTCAGATGGAAGTCAATGCCCCCCCACGCCCCGGCCTCGAGCTGCACACTCAGTCACTGTCTTCATCCTCCCCTCCGCCCGCCACTTCGCCACCCTCAGGCCGCTCGGGCGCCAGGCCCTTCAACCTGCCCGCGTCCCTGTCTCCAGGGCGCGGGGCGTACGATTTGAGCAGGCGGGGGTCGCGCAACGTCGTCGAAAGCAGCCGTGGGGCCGGCGCGTCGGTCGGGGCGGCACGTGCAGCGTCCAAGGACTCGGCCGAGACGATGGACGCGGAGACGGGCAAGGAGATGGATTCTCGCTCCGTCAGAACTGTGATGGTCGCCTCAAGCTCCATTTCAGTGTCGTTGCCCACCTCCAGCTCGAGCGGCACGAGTGCCGTACCTCCTAACTAAAATCTTCTGCAATTCTTCTTCTGTGTTAGTGCCAGTGCGCGCCAGTCCCGTGCGAGCGAAAAAAAATTCTTCTTTCCGCCGCTGTGCCTTTTGTGGTGCTAGTTCGTGCCAAAGAAAGAAAGAAAGAAAACGGACAACCAAAGGCGCAAGGGAGGGATGCGGATGGGAGGACGGCACGCCGCCACCACACAGGGATTTTAAGGAGAGGGGTGTGATGCGCTAGCCGTCGCCCACCCTTGGGCGTCCGCCTCTTCCTATCTCTCTTCGCAGTCTCTCGCCGATTCTCGCTGCGACCTTCATGCCACCTCGCGGTCGCCCCCTTCTCGTCGTGCTCTCCCTTGTCGCTTCTTCCTCTGTCGCGTCGCTCTCCTCTGCCTCGTTCTGCGACGCCGCCGCCGCATGCCGGTCCCTTGTTCTCGCGCCAGTCTGCTGTGCGGAGACCAGGAGAATTCTTTCCTCGTGCTACCGTGCGAGAATTCTTTCGCCGCAGCAGCCCTTCTCCCTAGCGAGCGGCTGCGGACAGTCTGCCCTCTCGTTGCTTTGAGCGGCGCAGTGCCATGTACTACCCATTCCCGCGACACCGTCCGCCGTCGGCACCGCCGATGGCGTCGCCCTGTGTGTACGCGCCAGCACCGCCGCCGCCGCCGCAGCCGCCGCCGCCGCCGCCGCCGCTTTGGGTTGCGCCGGCAACGGCCGGCGGCGGCGGCACCGCAGCAGCCGAGGAGCTGGAGCTGAGCGAGGAGCTGATCGCCTCGTTTGTACGGATGGAGGAGCGGCGGGGCCGTCGGCGCCAGCCGCACGGGTCGACGCCGCGCGAGCTGCCGCGCAAGATTGAGCTGCCGCAACAGGAGCACGAGGCGTCGCGGGCGGTGCTGCGGGAGCGGGCGCAGCTGCGTGACGCGCAGGAGGAGCGGTATGGCCCGCACACGCCCGCGGTGCGCGCGCTCGAGGCGGGCCTCAACGCCGCCTTTGACGCCATCTCGCACAAGGAGCTCCCGGCGCTGTGGCCGTCGGTGCCACTCTGCGGGGCCTCCAGTGCGAGCGTGCAACTAGGGTGGCGAGGCTCTGTGTAAAATACATGAGTACACATTAAACGGACAGATGCGTGGGCGCGGTCGCGCGGCGCTCTCTATATGGCACCGACCAGCGTCACACCGCTGGCGCTCACACACTCTCACAGTGACGGGGCCTCACACCCTCACAGTACTCTCTCACGACAGAATCTGCAATCTCTCCCGCACGGCACACGCGCCGCGTGGGGTCAACTCACGCCGGGCGAGTCTGCAGCCCGCCCCTCCAGGGAGGGGGCTGAGGCGGGCGGGGGTGCGGCTCCTTCGCCCTGATCGTGGAGGCTATTTGGTCGCAGCGGCTCGACCAGCAGCAGCTTGCGCGATGGCGGCGGCTCGTCGTGCACGTCGAAGGCGGCGGCGACCAAGTGAAGGGCCGCGAAGGCGGCGCAGACGGCGACGGTCACGTCGGCGAAGCCGGTGAAGCCGTTGCGCGGCGACCACTCGCAGGAGCACGGCGGCGGCGGCGCGCCCGAGGCGGGCTCGTCGCACTGGCCGCGCTGCAGCACCGTGCAGAGCGGCGCGCGGTCGAATGCGGCGTAGATGGCCCCGCCCGCGTACGGGCCTGCTGCCCAGCCGACGGCGTAGGCTGCGTTCCACAGAGTGGAGATGGAGGCCTGCAGCTGGTGGTCCTCTTGGCGGATGCCTTGCACCAAGTCGGGGTACACAAAGTTGGACGACACGGCCGATCCGACAGCGCGCAGCACCATGGCCCCGACGACGCTGGCGGTGCAGTTGAGCGGCCTCAGCGCGGCAATGGGCCCGAGCAGTGCAAAGGCGGCTGCGAGGAGGAGGAAGCCGCCCCCGGTGGCCGCCTTGAGCCCGCGCGAGGAGGAGGAGAGCTTGCCCGCCGCCCACCCCACCGGCAGCATGATGACCAGGTAGGCGGCCGAGGAGAGCGACGTGACGGCGGAGAGCTCCGTCATGCTCAGCCAAAAGGGCGGCGCCTGGAGGCGGTACGGCAGGTTCGTGTCGAGGGTGCCGGTGACGCACGAGGAGAGGAAGATGGCGAGCAGCCCGAGCGCCACCGAGAGCGACGCGACGGAGCGGAGCGGTGCCGCGCTGGCGGTGGTCTCCTCCAGTCGCTCCTCGGGCACCACCCACCGCAGCGGCAGCAGGGCGGCGACCAGGCCGGTCGACGCGAGGAAGGGGATTCGGAACTTCATCGCCGGGTCGCCTTCCGGGCCGGCGTCGTAGAGCATTCCGCCGAGGAAGGAGCCGACGAAGCAGCCGCAGGTGGAGGCGGTGTTGACGTGGGCCATCACCGTGCCAATGGCGGAGCGGAACCGGACCGAGAGCAGGATCAGGATCGCCGTCTCCGCCGCCGCACCGAGCAGCCCGTTTGCAAAGTAGACGCCCCAGAAGCCGTAGCGGAGGCAAGCGGCGCCGCTCCCACCCTCGGCTGCGGTGGACAGGGGCTGGCTGCAGAGGTCTGGGACGAGGCCAAAGAGGAGGTTGGCGAGCACCGTCGCGCACAAGCCGCCCGTCAGAGCGCGGCGTGTGCCGATGCGCCGCACGAGCGACGGCGCGGCAAGCGAGGTGAGGGACATGCCGAGAGGGTACGCCATGAAGATGAGTCCGACCCAGGTCGCCGAGAAGCCGGCGTCGTCGGCGACGGCGGTGAAGAAGCCGGCGAGCTGCTGGGAGACGAGGTAGCGGATGAAGAGCACGAGGTACCCGCCAAGCAGAAGCACGATGTCGGCGCGCGAGAGCGACGCCAGCCACCACTCAGCCGGCGGTTGCGCAAACGGCTCGGCGGAGGCGGTGGCGCGGCCAGCCTCGCTACCGCTGACCGAGTTCTCGCGCGAGCGTGCGCCGTGGCTCCCGGCGGACGAGACGCTACACCGCACCGAAGCGGGTCCCTGCGGCAGCGTCAGTTGCTGCCTGCTGAGCGCGGCGAGCCGCTCAGCGGTAGGCGGCTCAGACGAGCTCGAGGCCCGCCGCGCAGGAAGCTGGAGCGGCTGCAAGCAGTCCGCGGCGCTTCGAGCTGCCGAGGTGCGCTCGAGGAGGGTGGGCGAGGCCAGCATTGAGTGTTGTTGTGCGAGGAGGCCACCGGCCAAAAGCGCATGTCTTGAAGGTCCGATACTGGAAGACCATAGGCACCTTAGGTGCTCGGCTTTCTTTCTTTCTTCCGTCTCTTGTAATAAAACGGGCACGCCAAACGAGGGGTGGGAGAGGGACAGGGTCCCCACCTGCACGAGCAGGATCTTGGAAGGACGATCAGGGACACAGGGGAACGGGAGCGGGGAGCGCATCGCGACACGGAGGGGGGCTGGGCAGGGTTCACCCACACGACAGGGTCCCAGGGATTCCTCTCTCGTATAGGACAGGTTGCACCCGGCGGCACGGGGGCAGGCGCGGGCCTCCTACTGGTTGCGCTCTCCTAGTTCTCCTGCTCCTGACAAGGGACAGCGACAGGCTCGCAGCACGGTGGACTCCCTCTTCCACTGGCGATCTCTCTCGACTAGCGACCTTCCTCCGGCTTCTCACCAGCAGTCTCTCACTACCACGGGCACACTGACAGAGGCGGCCAAAAGGCTCACGTGGGTGGCAGGGCGGTGATAGGAGTCTCCCACTCTGTGGGCTTCGCTAGAGGTGCGGCCCCTGCGCGTGTCCTCGCCCTTGCGCGCGCGCGCGCGCGTGTGTGTGTGTGTGTGTGTGTGTGTGTGTGTGTGTGTGTGTGTGTGTGTGTGTGTGTGTGTGTGTGTGTGTGTGTGTGTGTGTGTGTGTGTGTGTGTGTGTGTGTGTCTGCGGGCGCTGTGCGAGCCGCCCTGAACGACCACAATGTTGAGCGTGCTCGAGCACCGAAGCACCGCGAGCGCCGGCGAGCACCACCGCCCCGCGCCTTGGCGTGGGTCGGTAGTACACGATGCGGCGCCCAGCAGCTCTATCATGCGTCGCACCCGCAGTGGCCGAGCCGACCGCCGCTCGAACTGGCGCCGAGTGGCTCCCAGATCTAGCGTGGCAGGCTCAGTCGCACCGTCGCGGGGCGAACGCGAACCGAGCCGTCGCCGTTCGCCGCAGCCGCCGGCCGCCAGCCGTCAGCCGTACAGCCGTACAGCCGTCAGCCGTCAGCTCGCAGTCGCCGTCGCTGCCGCCGCCGCAGCAGCAGTGAGCGAGCTCCTGCGTCGTGTTGCCGACGCAGTGTGGACGCGCGCCGCCCAGCGGCGAGCGAGCGTGCTCGGAGTTGGGTCGGCGCGCGCGCGGGCGGACGGCGCCTGTAAACAGACAGCCTGCACCGCCCACTCGTTCAAAATCGTGTTGGTGTCCGTTTTATTTATTTGATTATTTCTTCCTAAGAGACTGCGAAGAGAGATAGGAAGAGGCGCGTCGGACGCCCAAGGGTGGGCGACGGCTAGCGCATCACACCCCTCTCCTTAAAATCCCTGTGTGGTGGCGGCGTGCCGTCCTCCCATCCCTCCCTTGGGTTCTCTGTTTTCTTCCTTTCTTTCGCCTTCCTAAGTAACCTTTAACCGCGCTTCTTAGCTCCCCGGCCCTGGATGTGAGGTTACCGACCGTCCAAGTACTGCAAGAGCAAGTGCCCCGCCTCCGCACAAAACCTGGCTGGAAATTCCCTGAAAGAAAGAAAACAGACAACCCAAGGGAGAAACTCCCTAGAAAGAAAGAAAGAAAACAGACCAGCCAAGGGAGGGATGGGAGGACGGCACGCCGCCACCACACAGGGATTTTAAGGAGAGGAGTGTGGTGCTAGCCGTCGCCCACCCTAACCCTTGGTCGTCTGCCTCTTTCTATCTCCCTTCGCAGTCCCTCGCCGATTCTCGCTGCAACCTTCATGCCACCTCGCGGTCGTCCCACTCTCGTCGCACTTGGAGCACTTGGAGTGCAGTCATTAACCGCACATCCAGGGCCGGGGAGCTAAGAAGCGCACCCAGCGGGCCGGATGATTGGCATCGGGTTAGTCGTTCTCCCTCCTCTCGTTTCCTCCTCTGTCGCGTCGCTCTCGTCTGCCTCGTCCTGCGTGACGCGTGAGTGAGTGAGTATTCTTGATACGAAACCACGACGACACACACCAGTCGACTCGCATCAGTTGCCTCCATGAACGGCGGAGCTATTCTCGCGCCCACACCACACCTGGCTCCAACGTGGACACGCCCATAGCTGGGGACACTACTAGGTCACGCATGGCATCAGAAGTTTTATCTCTGGGCCCCGAAAGGCATCTCTAGCAGCGTCGTTACGCAAGCGCCCCCTCCCCTCCTGGGCGCAAGCGCCTCACATCTCGAGTTCTCGACACACACACACACACCTCGTCCTGCGACGATGCCGCCGCCTGCCGATCCCTTGTTCTCGCGGCTTCTCCCGCCTTTCGGCGCAACTCTGCCCTCCTCGCGGCATATTTTGGCCCCTCGAGTTTATCGAGCTCTCCTCGCGCACGGACGACTCTTCTGACGCCCACTGCGATCATTTGTTTCCCTCTTAGGGGCATAAATAAATAAAAACGGACACCTCTCTACTGTGAGATGGGTAAAAAGGAACAGGTCCCCGCCCTTGCGATCTTTGTGCAGGGTTCTTTGTGGGTGTGGTCGGCGACTAGCCGGGGTCGTCCTCCCGATGGGGGACTAGCACTAGCCGTCTTCCACATGAGGGGCAAATAGCACACCCGAGTTTGTTTTTATACTTGGGTGGCCGCCCAGTGAATGAAGTGCACTGCGTGGTTGTGGTGTGTGCGGGAGCGAGTGTCCCCGCTGTGACTTCGGCCCATGTACTCGAGTATACGGCGTCTCAGCGAGGAAAAATACCCGCTGTAGGATTCCTAGAGGGCCCAACCGAAAGATGATCCTCTCACTCGTAAACACGCCTCTGTCGGCACCGCAGTGCCATGTGTCCCTACGGGATCAATGGAGCAGTCACGCTTGCGAACACGGTCGCACGTTCGGGTGCACGGCCAGTCGCTTTATGTGGGTCGGCGACGGATGCCGCGGCGCTTTCGTCTGCAACGGCCAGTTGCTAACCTGCGAGTCCGAAAACTTCGCTCGGACTGTCTGCCTATGCTCGCCGCCCCCACCGCCCGCGCCGCCACCTACGCCGCTGCCTCCTTCGACTCCGCCTCGGACGCCGCCGCCATCGCCGGCTCCAATGACTCCGCCTCGCCCGCCGCCGCCGCCGCCGCCTCCGCCTACTCCGCCTCCGTCGCCGCCGTCGGCGCCGCCTCTGCCGCCGTCTCTCCCTCCGCCGCCGTTCCATCCGCCGCCGCCGCCTACGCCGCCGCCTACGCCGCCGCCGCTTCCGCCCTCGCCCTCGCCGCCTCCACGGCTGCCGCAGCCCCAAACCTTCTCAGCGGTCCTGAAGGGCGCGCTTGAGACTCTCGACGACCTCGGCCGCTCAGGCCTCCGCCGCTTTACGGCCTCCAAGGACCTCCCGCTCGCACTGCACAACCTCTCGCTGCCTGACGAGCACACGATAGTCGTCGAAAAGACGGCTCTCGCCCTTGCGGCCGCCGCGGCGGCGGCCATCCTCGCGTGCGCCATCTGCATCGCTTGCGTCGTCCGCGGCCGCTCCATCCTCCGCATGAAGAGGGATCAAAAGCGCCTCTTGGAGGCAAACCAACTCCCCCCCGCCCGCCGCATAGCCGTCGCAAGAAGACATATCGAACATCTCTCTCCGGCGCCATGTACGTTCCGCCCGCCCCCCCCCCCCCTCCACCACCGCATGGGGCTCCTATCTGTACAGCGTCGCGGAGTCGCGAGGGATCAGCCTGGCCCTTGCTCCACGCCCCCACCACCTTGTGCGTGTGGGTGCGTTGCCGCATATACTTTTCCTTACCTTAGGACGCCGCCGCCGCCGCCGCCGAGCTCCGCGAGTTTGTCGAGCCCTCGTCGCCTTGGGCCCATGCTCGGGCCCGTCGGGGGCCGCAGAGGGCACGGCCCGCGGGGCACACGCGCCTCAGGTAAGGGAGGGAAGATCGGTTGGCCACACGGAACACGGCGCTTTAGATCTAGGTAGGGTTCCCCATTGCATGCAGCCACTCGACGCCCATCCGACCCGGCCGGTGCGCGCAGTGTGCATGTGCATGTAGGGAAGGGATGGAACATATCGCCGCCCAAGGGCGCCACTGTTTGATCCAAGACCAACTATGTGCGAGCGCGCACTTCCTGACTGACTCGCTCGGACGGAGCACTGACCACTGCAGGGAGCCACTTGCCCTTCGTAAATTTCAGCCTGAAAATTTGGGGAGAAGGCACTGGCAGTCAGCAGCCGCACCTCCACGGCCGGGGAGATGAAAGAAAGAAAGAAACGCGGCAACCCAACGGAGGGATGGGAGGACGGCACGCGCCGCCACCACACAGAGGGCTTTTAAGGAGAGGAGTGTGGTGCTACGCTGCTAGCCGTCGCCCACCCTGACGTGACCCCTGTCGTCTGCCTCTTTCTATCTCCCTTCAAAAAAAGTTTCGTTTTCTTCCGACCGAGCGCTGGGACGGTGCTTCCCAGCGAGCGAGTTCTTTACCCGGTTGCAACCCTAGTCTCGCACTGTGCTGTGAATAGAGCACCAACCAACAGCTCTCAGGACCCCCCGGTGCTGGGGTGCTGCCAGCAACCAACCAACTCGCCGGCGAGCGGAGCGAGCCGAAGAGCTGGGGCCAAATTCGCGCTGTGAACGTCGTAGCTCACTGAGGAGGGAGGGAGAGAGAGATTTTTGAAAACGGAGGGAGTGCGGAAGTTCCGCGCGGCTGAAGTACCACGCCTGCCCGCCGGGACCGCGTGGCACAGAAAGCCCCATCGCCAACGCCGCAGCAGCATCGAGCGGCACCATAGGTCGTCCGGCTTTGCCGACGGGCGACGTGGACGGGACACAGGGACGGGCGAACCACGTACCCCAACAAGCATGATCCAGAGAACGGGGCATTGTACTACATAGTGCGGGACCTGGGGCAGCAACCAACGACCTGGATGGGGACGGGGTGCCAACCAGCAGCGTTCACAGCGCAGTGCGAGACTAGGGTTGCAACCTGGTAAAGAACTCGTGCCGGCACCCCAGCGTAGAGGGCGTCGTGCAGCCCTCCTTTTGGTATAATATAAAGAACTCGTCGCATGCGAGAGAGGCCGCCGAGAAACAGCTGACGCGCGCCACACCACCTCGTTCTTTATGCCTGCGAGCGACGCGATCTTTGAGGCGCTCCAGGTGTACGCATGGGGACGAGTCTGCTTCTCCGCGTGGGACGAGGTCCTGGAGCGCGGCGGGCGGCTTCTCGGCTACGATCGTTGGGCTCCCGAGGCACGTGGCGTAATTCACGCGCTGTACCCGGCTTTCTTCGTGTTTTCCGCCGCGTCGAAGTTGACAGGCCCAAACGCGCCCAGTCATCCGCGGCGAAGGCAGGCGCTGCAGGCCCTGATGGCGGCGGTGTGCTTGCTCTTGAGCGTGGTTGGTGCACGGCGAGGCGAGCGGCTTCGACTGGCGTCACGTTGAGTGGGCGAAGTCGCTCGCTGGAGCGTCGCTGGACCAACAGCCCTGTTGTCTTGAACGCGTGATTACCCCACAGGGACTTGCACTTGTCTCTGTCTCACAGGCAGGCCGCGCGCGCCGTGGCCACAGACTGGCTAGTGTGACTGTCACGGCCGAGACTGCGGACATTCCCTTTCAATTTGGTGTTTGCCCGCGAAATCATCGCTGCTACGTCGGGACCTGCCAAGACGAATACGGAAATGTCCGTTCGTGTCCACCTCGTCGAGTCGTGTCAGGGTGCCGCAAGGGCTGGTGTGTCCACCTCGGACGACTGGCTAAGTTCTAAGTTCTAACAGAGAGAGTCTCAGTGGCGTCTCGGGGAGTCCCGAAGGTAGCCCTAAGGCGTTTACGTTAAGACAGTTGTAACCGAGCAAGGCTGCAAGGGGAGATCATGAGTACACCGTGAGCCTACCCTCCCGGTGCCAGCGGGCGTAGATCTCGTGCTCCTTCTCGAACCAATGGAGCGGCTCATCGTTCTTGGTCGGGATCGCCTTGGTGCAAGTCGCCTTAGGCTCGCCGTAGTAGTGAAAGGGCTGGCACGGGTCGTCGGTGAGACCAAAGAGAGAGACGTTGCGGCAGATCTGTAGTGCGATGATCACAGAGATGAAGCCTGTGCTCGGCCGCATCGTGCCGGACGTGCGCTGCCACATGCACCCCTCGCCCGTCGCCCGGCAGAGCTCAGCGAGGGCCTTATGGTAGACAGCGTCAGTGGTAAGGAAGACGCGCGACGGCGTGACGAGCGTTTCCGCGGCGGTGGCCGTCTTGTTGAGCACAGTCGACTTGCGTACGCGGTGCATGTATCGGAAGAAGGAGGCCACCGAGCGGTCTGAGTTGGAAGTGATCAAGCCAATGGCACGTCGCTCCTCCGGCAAGCTGCGCTGATGCTTCTCAAACTGCTCCATCATCCCCTCCACGCCGAAGAACAGGTTGATACTCGTCCGCGTCCCCACCTTATTCTCATAGCCCTTGGTGATGATCCAGTTTGGCCGCAGGACGAGCGAGTGGCCGTCAATCTGCGCGCCGTGTTCGAATTTGCGAAGCGAGCCACCCGCCCCGACCACAGCGCAAGTGTCACACATCTCGCACCCATCGGGCCAGGCCGACGACATGAGGCTATTTCGCGGAAGCTGCTCGATAAACGGCTCAAACTTGCTCGCGGCGAACGGCTTCTCGTTCATAAACCTCTTCTGGCTGCGGACGAGGTCGCGGCTCCAGAGCACCGGCACAGAAGCGGCACTGAGAGCCGCACGCACCTCCGGTTTGGCGCAGAGCCGCTGTCGCATCGACGCCTTTGGCGCAACATCGGGTGCAGAGGCGTTGCACCGCGGCAGCGGCATGCTCAGCGCGGACTGGTTGGTAGCCCCACTGCGCTGTGTATGGGTGCGGTTATGCCAGATCCGGATGTTGTCGACGGCTGGTGCGTCCAAGAATGTCAGCCAGCGCAGGTGAGCCGCTTGATACGCAGCGAGAGCTCTCGCCTCGACGGGATCGGCCGTACGAAGGCCTAGGGGCTTTCTATTGCCGGACCAGTGCACCACGTGGGCCTCCCTGAGGCCCCATTTCCGCATACACCTGCTCGTGCCTTGGTCGGCCTTGAGGTTCCACGCGAGCGACGCCCTGGTCCATGAGTTGTTCGCTCCGAAAAATTCCACCCACGTTTGAGAGCCGATGCCACAGGGGAACTTGCCAGCCGCGAGCCAAGGATACAATCTGGCGGCGTAATCGCGTGAGGGCGTGATGCCCCAGACGCCAGTGTTGTAATGCTTCTGGTCGGGGACGCGGTTGCACCCGGTGGGCGTGCGCAGCTCCGTCGTTCCTTGGCGGGCCCATGCCTCCACCAAGCGGTCTGGGGGCGTGCGTACTGCGAGGTCGCCATCAAGGTAGAGGATCTTGTCGTACTGAGTCTGCTCATAGACTCGAAGGATGTGGAACGAGAAGCTGAAGCGGAATCTGGACTGTTCGGCTGAGGAGGACGTCCGGCACTTGCCCTCGACGTGTGGGACAAAGACGACCTTGGTGTCGAGAGTCCTGAGCGCGTCGCCGAGCCTCAGAATGCTGTTGGGCGATTGCATGCTGAGCACGTCCTTCTTCGTGCCGGTTTGGCGCAGGAGAGAAATGGCTGCGAGGTGCTGTGCGGCCATCGCAACGGTGGGCGCGCCGACGAGCGCCAGGCAGTAGGCGATGCGCAGGTTTGAGGGTGTCGAAGAGACGACTGCAGTGGTGATCAAGGGCCGGCCGTTCGCAGTGGGCCACACGTTTGTCAGGTTAGAAACCTCCTCTGCGTTGGTGACGACGAGAGATATCAGAAGGACAGCGAGCAGCGGCCCACGTGAGCACGAACGGCACGGCGACGACACCGATGCGACCGAGCTTGGGCGCTCGATGGTAGGCTTGATCATGCGAGTCCTACTGCGAGGGTGCGGGCTTGGCCTTTTTGAATTTTCTCTCCCGTGAAAGGAGTCTCTGGCCGTGCTGGCCGTCAGACGCGTAGCGTAGAGAGGCGTTCTCCTTCGTTGAGTCGCCGTCCTCAGGAGAATACTGACTAATAGCAGTCCGCTGTGAATATATTGGGATATACTGGGGTATATTGCACCCCTGGAATATATTCATATTGCGCACTATTACGCAATATACGGAGATATTGGAGGAACATCTTCCAGCCGAATACTGGGATATATTGGAGTATATCTCGGCGCCGCCAAGAGAGAGAGACCGCCAAGCACCTCAATCCTTCCGCAATGTATTGCAATATACAGCAGTATATCCCAATGTATTCACAGCTTGCTTGCCCCATTATTGGCTTATAATTCGCAATACTGGGATATATTGCTGAAAATGGCCGAATACTGCTGAATAACTGCTGAATGCTGCTGAATACTGGAGAAAGTCGGGGGACGTAGAGTGGTCCGTGGCGCGTCGCAGCCTGCGGGGCGTGGCTCAAACGACCGTGGGGGTAGTCGAAGGATCGTGAGGCGCCGCGTTGGATGGCTGCGGTCTTGGTATGAATACTGCTGAATACTGCACTGAATACTGCAATACTGCTGAATACTGGAGAAAGTCGGGGGATGTACAATGGTCCGTGGCGCGTCGCAGCCTGCGGGACGTGCTCACACGCCGCCGTGGGGATAGTCGAAGGATCGTAAACACACAGGCGCCGCGTCGGGTGGCTGCAGGTCGTGAATAAGAGCTATCTGATGTCCAGCGCGGCTCGCACACCAGTCACCACACACAGCATGTGCAAAACCATGACAGTGTCCTCGCGGGTGCGCAGCGTGGGGTGTCCACCTGGTGGGCGCTCCTATAGGGCTCTATTGCATGAGCAGGCTGCACCGGCGCGCTCTCGCATTCGCACAGATGGCTGACCCACGGAAAAGTGCATCGCAGGATCCGCACGCTCGGCGATGCAAAACGGCGGCAGCGGGCTGGCTGGGGCACCTAGCGGGTAAGCAGAAGGCCCTGGTGTACGGTCTCACTGCCCGAACGAACAACAGAGGCGGGTACCGCGGCAGGTCCCCCACTAGTCCAGCGATAGGCATGGCCGCTCAACACTGAGCACGTCCACAGCTGTAGGCCGACTTCGCACCTGTGGAGGGACGCCCGATTCAAGGTGTGTCGAGTCAAACTAACCGTGATGTCGACGTTGCCTCGAGTTTGGGGAGTGCTTCCCCCCGCCACCGCTCTCGTGTCTCTCGTAGACGACGGAGGCCCCTTTTATCTGCTATGGCACTCGTGCATAGCCCGCGGGGGGGCTGCCTGTCCGGAATCCCTCACCCGACCAACCAGGTCTGCTGTAACGCTTCGTGCGGATCATGCGGCGGGCGCGGGTGCTCGGGCCGGCCGGGCGGGCCGTTTCAGTGCTGCATGCCTGCCATCCTGCGTGCTAGACGGAGATGCCGCTCGACGACGGACGTGGCGTGCATTCTCCAGGGCGGCGCCATCGACGATCTGGCCCGCCCTGGCGAGAATTTGACGCTGGCACAGCGAGCCAACGGCAGCCGCAGCACCGCATCCTTCTGGCTCTCAGCGGCGTCCGGCTACCGGCCAGCGAGGCTGGCTCCGGCACAGCAAATGCAGCAGCGGATCCCACGACACATTGTGCAGGTCGGCTCCACCTTCGAGTGGGCGTCGCGGGGCAGGTACAGCGCGTATATGGCAGGCTGGTGGACTCGCAACCCCGACTATGCTTACGCATTTTTCAATGACTCGCACGCCCGCCACTACGTGACGCGGCGCGCGTCGGAAAACGAGAGCAGCGCCTACCTGTCGCTCAAGCATGGTGCGCAGCGCGCCGACCTCTTCCGCATGATATGGATCAAGTACGAGGGCGGTGTCTACGCGGACCTGGACAGCTCGTGCATTCGCCCGCTCTCCAGCGTGATTGAGCCGCACTACTCCGCCTACGTGGGCCCCTCCTGGTCCTTTGAGTTCCTGGCGTACGAGCCCGGGCACCCAATCATCGTCGCAGGGCTGAATAGGCAAGTGGCGAATGTGCTGCGCCAGGTGGCGCTGCTGAACCAGCCGGCGCAGGACCGCACCGGTTTGTGCAGGGGCGCGCACAGCTGTGTGGTCTCGCAGACAGGGCCCAGCGCGTATTGGGCCGGAGTGTGGGAGGCCACGCACCGGCTGGGGTGCACCAATCAACGACAGTTGTTCACCGCCGGGCAGTGCAGCAGCTCAGTCAGCGACCCGATGCGCCGAGTGCACGTCTGCCGGAGAATCACATACATCGGCAGCGGCATGTTGGGGAGGATCATGACGTGCAACGTGTCGAGGCACAATGACTGCCGGAACGGGGGCATCCTGGGGTTGAGGTGCGGATCGTCGCGGTCGAACTCGCCGCACTACACCCGAATTGGCGTCGACGCGGAGAGGTTCTTCGCGACGGCACCGCTGCTGCGCTGAGGCGGCTCCCGCTGTGTACCTGACCTGCCAGTCCGTGCCAGAGCGCGCCAGTCTCGTGCCTAGTGTTGTGCGAGGGACGCCACTGGGGTGCGGCGGACGAGACCGGTCCCGCCATGCTTGCTGACGACAACGACTCACCGCGACCGTGAACCCCAACCCCTAATCTTGGCCCTAACCCTAGGCCTCTTCGCCGCGCGTTCGAACGGCGAGGTATGCTCGACTACCTGGGCGAGGTGCAAAGAGCTGATGTGGCACGAGCAGAAGCGAAGCTTGAGCGCCCGGCCTGCCGCCCGGGCACGGCAAGCGCCGCGCGGCCCCATCGAGGCAGCTTCGATCACACACGAGGTTCAAATCCCGGCCTCTCTCCTCTGACGGTCATCGGCAGTACGGCTTTACACTTGCTCGCGGGCTCCTACACAGCTACACCTGGCAGTGGCCAGTGTGGCACCGCAGTCTGATGCGTGATGGGTGACCGGAGACCGCTCTCGAGCGTCGAGGTCTCGAGCGTCGAGAAATCAGAGAGCGGCGTCGGTGAGCGCGGGCGTGTCGCTGTCGGGTGTGCCTGTGCGGTGTGCTGTGTGGAAGAGTGGAAGTAAGTGTGCTCTGCCTGTGCGGGTCACCGTGTGCGATAGAGGGTGTGGAGGGTGAAATGGAACGAAATCAAGGGACGCGACCCACTTCGCCACAGACGGTCCCGCGCCTCGCCGCTATGACGGGTACACGACCGCGGCTCGTGTGCGTGTACCCGTCCCTTTGTCCGGAGTGAAAAGTCCAACGCGCTCGTCGGCACCGGCGGCTTCCCTCAACCTGCGCCGCGCTCGGCGAACCTCTCGACAGCGCTTTCGGTGGCATGCATCAAGCTGCTGTACGGCCCCGGCATCGCCTTCCCAGGCTTAGCTAGATTAAGAGATATTGTGGACATGGTTGGTCTCTACAATATATAGACTGACACTGAACCTCCCAGAGCTCGTCCCGGTCCGTCACGGCCATCCTCGGCCTCCGGAGGGCCCCCGGCCGCGGCGCGGTGCGGCGGAGTCACAAATCCGACCACAGAGCACCGGGACGCGGTCGGGCGATCTAAGGCCCAGTGTTGGCAGTGAGGCGTGTGCATTGCCCATCCAGGACTATCACCTGGACCTATCAACAGGGGCGCTGGAGCCGAGCAGGAGGGCCCGGCGCACAACCCCTTGTTCAACTCACCCACCACACCCTCCACACCCCGTATCTCGGTCACATTCCTCGTGTTCGACATTGCAATTTGCATTGGCCCTTACGCGTTACGGCTTACTGCGATGTGCGAAGTGCGATATTAGCGGGATTGGGATATGCATCTGGGATTCCGTATTCGCGGCTTTAGCGAAACCTCCAAAACGAAAACTCGTGTTTTATCTTTTAAACATTTTAAGCTCCTCGCAAACAACATGGCAACGTAATGGTAGGGCCCTGCCCACAGCATCGCGGAGCTCGCGCGCCCAAGCTGCGGGGCACAAACGAGGAGTGTATAGTATCACGCGCGCGGCCCGATACGACGCCGGGCGCGGGCGGCGCGCGTGGGCTCTCGGCGCAGCGGGGGAATCGCGCCCCACTGGCACCTCCCGGCGCGGCCGGACCAGGGCGGCAAGGGGATCGTCGGAATCGACTCCAACGCTGAGCCAGGCGGGTCCACGGCCGGCGCGGGCGACCCTCTCGCCCCGAGAGAGCGCGCGCGCCGCCCTAGCTCGCAGCTCATGAGCTGCGAGCATAGTACACCTTGAGCGTCTTCTCGGGGATGCGCTTGAGCATCTCCTTGGGGAAGGTGCGGAGCAGCCCCCACGCGATCTCAAGCGTCTCGAAGATGGTGCGGTTCTCATACGCGCCCTGAGGGAAGCGGCGGAGGCGAAGTGAGGCGGATGGGAAAGAAGTGGTGGAGATGGTGGCGGCGGGGGTAGCGGCGGTGGGCAAGGCGGCGGCGGGCTGGGTGGCAGCGACGGAGGGAGCGTCTCGCAGGTGTCTGCACCTGGTTGACAAACTTGCCCTCGAACTTTTCGAGAAACTCGAGGTAGAGGTGATCCTCCGACGAGAGGGCCTCCTCGCCGACGACCGCCTTCATGGCCTGCACGTCCTTGCCAATGGCGTAGTTGGCGTACAGCTGGTTGGACACGTCTCCGTGGTCCTTGCGCGTCATGCCCTCGCCGATGGCGGACTTCATAAGCCGCGAGAGCGAGGGCAGCACGTTGATCGGCGGGTAGATCTGCCGGTTCTGCAGCGCGCGGTCGACGTAGATCTGCCCCTCGGTGATGTAGCCCGTCAGGTCGGGGATCGGGTGCGTGATGTCGTCGTTGGGCATCGTCTGCGGGGGCGCGCAAGCCGGTCAGCGGTGGCGCGCAAGCCGAGCAGCGGGGGAGAGGACGGAAGGCGCGGCCGGCTCCCTCTCTCCCCTCCCGCTCCGTGCACCGGCCCGTCGAGTCGCGCGCCGGAGAGGCCGTGTGTGTGTGGTGGTGGGGGCGGGCGCTTGGTCTCTCACCAGGATCGGGAACTGCGTGATGGAACCGCTGCGGCCCTCGACGCGGCCCGCGCGCTCGTAGATGGTGGAGAGGTCGGTGTACATGTAGCCGGGGTAGCCGCGCCGGCCGGGCACCTCCTCGCGCGCGGCCGACACCTCGCGCAGCGCGTCGGCGTACGACGACATGTCGGTCATGATAGCGAGCACGTGCTTGTCCTTGTCGTAGGCGAGGTACTCTGCCGTCGTCAGCGCAATCCTGGGCGCGGGGGGCGAGGGAGTTGGCGAGGGAGGGGACGAGAGGGAGGGAGGCGAGGGACGGAGGCGAGGGGGAGGGGGGGGGGGGGGGGGCGAGGTGGCGAGGTGGCGAGGCGAAAGGCGAGTCACGCCTGGGCGTGATGATGCGCTCGATGGTGGGGTCGTTGGCGAGGTTGAGGAAGAGGGTGACGCGCTCGAGCGCGCCGTTCTCCTCGAAGTCCTGCTTGAAGAAGCGCGCCGTCTCCATGTTCACGCCTGCTCAAGGGCGGGGGTGTGAAGAGACGCTGCTCACACTCGCAGGTCCCACCCGTCTTGCGGCCGGTGCCCATCGCCGCAAAGACGATGGCAAACGACTCCTCCGAGTCGTCGGACGTCGTGCCCTTGGTGCTCTGCTTGACGAGGCCTGCCTGCCTGCAAATCTGCGCGGCGATCTCGTTGTGCGGCAGGCCGGCCGCGGAGAAGAGCGGGATCTTTTGCCCACGCGCGACCGAGTTCATGCAGTCGATGGTCGAGATGCCCGTCTGGATCATCTCCTCGGGGTAGGTGCGGACCTGCGGGTTGATGGGCTGGCCCTGGATGTCGAGGTACTCCTCGGCGAGCACGCCGGGGCCCTTGTCGATGGGCTTGCCGGAGCCGTTGAAGATGCGGCCGAGCATGTCCTCCGACACGGGCGTGGTGAGGATGTTGCCCGTGAACTCGATCGACGTCCGCTGGTTGTCGATGCCCGCGGTGCCCTCGAACACCTGCACCACCGCCTTCGAGCCGGCGACCTGGAGGAGACGGGGCGGGCGGGCGGGTAGGCGCCAGGCAGGCAAGGCTGGAGAGGGAACCCAGGCCGCGCGGCCGCAGCGAGCTGGAGCGCGTCTGGGCGGCGCGTAGCGAGGCTTGGGCAGCGAGTGGGCGCTGCAGCCGCAGTGGAAGAGTCGCGGACGTGTCCGCACCTCGAGCACTTGGCCCGCGCGCGAGGTGCCGTCGGCGAGCGTCAGGTTGACGATCTCGGCGAACTTGGGGTTGCGCACGTTCTGCAGCGGGGCAGAGGCGGCGGCGGCGTGAGCAGGCGGTGGCGCGACGCAGGCTTTTGCGGTGAGGCGCTGCGGATGAGCGCGGTGGGGCGGCGCTGCTAAGCTCCGGCGGGCGATCGAGGCGGTCGGGCGGCGGCAATGGCTGTGGTGGTGGTGGCGGCGGCGGCGGCGGCAGCGGCGTCGGCGGCGGCGGCGCCAGCGAGAGAGCGCGCACAGAGCGTCCCCCCCCCCTTTCTGAGGGCTCTAAGTGCGGCGCCTCGAGGATGACGAGAGGGCCGTTGACGCCCTGCACAGTGCGGTACTCGAGGCGCGGCTTCACAATGTAGTCGCGCGTCGCGGCATCGACCTCAGCCTTCGACATGGCCTGCACAGAAACAGGGACAGACGTTGGCGTCAAAGCGTGAGATGCGGCTTCCGCAGATGGACGCGTCAGCGCGCGGCGTGGGAGATGGTGTCGGAGGCGGCGCCAGAGGCGTCGCCAGGGATGAGGGAGGGGCTGGCGCAGCGGGTCGGGTGGCGCGGCGAGTCTTGTCAGTGCAGCATTGTGTTGGTGCGCGCTGTGCTCGCGAGCGTACTGGGGAGGGTGTCCCGCCAGCGCGAGGGCAGGCGGGCGTGGCGGCGTGGGGCGGTAATACTGCAGGCGCGACCGCGAGGTGGGTTCGGCGGACGTGGGAGCGCGCGGCAGGGCGGCGAAGCTACCTGTGTGCTTGTGGAGGGCGCGGTGTCGGAGAGAACACAGGTCGCAAAGAAATCGCATCCTGTGACGCTCGGACACGTTGACACACGCCAGTGTGCATCATTTTTTGTCTTTTGCGGTCTGCGCAGAATATGTTATTGTTCCTTCACTGTTTGCCAGCCAAACCTGCCCAGGATTAGTAGTTGCACTCAGGAGGGTAGCTCGAGGGCGGCGAGGACAAGCCCGAGCAGGCAGCGGGAAGGGCGGGCAGGGGGCAGGCAAAGTGGTTGGTGCCGCCCAGGTCGCAGTTCGTCAGCGGCAGGTTGTTGAGCTGCGGCGGCACGGTTCCGGAGATGACATTGTTGGCCAGGTCAAGCCACTCCAGCTGCGAGAGCTTGCTCGTCTCCGGAGGGATGGTGCCCGAGATGGAGTTGCCGTTCAGCCAAAGGTGATCCAGCTGCGAGAGCTTGCCCGTATCCGAAGGGATAGTGCCCGAGATGGAGTTGCTGTACAGGTGAAGATACTTCAGCTGCGAGAGCTCGCCCGTAGCCGCAGGGATAGTGCCCGAGATGGAGTTGCTGCCCAGACTAAGCCTCGTCAGCTGAGAGATGCCGCCCAGCTGCGGAGGGATCGTCCCCGACAGCCCTTCGTTGGTCAGACTCACCTCGGTGCCCGTGTAGTTGCCGTCGCACAGAGACGTGCCGTACACGCTTGTAGGGCAGCCGGAGGGGCATGGCACGCTGTTGTCGCAGATCGTGCCTGCGATGGTGCCCGAGATGGAGTTGCTGTACAGGTAAAGATTCTTCAGCTTCGTGAGCTTGCTCGTCTCCGGAGGGATGGTGCCCGAGATGGAGTTGCGGCTCAGACTAAGGTACTCCAGCTGCGAGATGTCGCCCAGCTGCGGAGGGATCGTCCCCGACAGCCCTTGGCTGTTCAGATCCACCTCGGTGCCCGTGTAGGTGCCGTCGCACAGCGACGCGCCATACACGCCGGTGGGGCATCCAGAGGAGCAGCTCACGCTGTTGTCGCAGATCGTGCCGTACGCCTCGCAGCGATCCGCCAGCAGGAGGAGCGCGAGCGGTACGAGGCGCGCCGAGGAGGAGCAAACCGCCGCCAGCAGCGTAAGAACGAGCGAGTTTGCCAGCGTCATGGCGGGCGATCGTGCAAGCCGAGCTCGCGTCGCCGCGCAGCCGCCGGAGAGCGCGTGCTTTGCACCGACGCGGGAGGATGCAGGTGCGGTAGAGGCCGAGGACTCACCAGTGGACTGCCAACAGGGAGGGAGCCGCCGAGTGAGAGCGTGTCTTTGTTAGCTTTTTCTTTCTTTCTTTTTTTACTCCGTGCCATCTGAGAGAGGGGCTTGTATGTAGAATTCTTTCTTTGTATTTCGGGGAGGGGCCTCGGGAAAGGCGAGCGCAGTGGCGCGCGGCAGTGGCGCGCGCCCTACGTAATCCCCTCCTCCCCAGAGGCAGCGAGCGAGTAGGCAGCGAGAGAGAGGGGGTATCGAGCGCCTATATGGAGGTCACGCCCCCGCCGAAATAAACACCAACACGCGAGATGCGTCGGCAGCGACGCGCATGACCTCTTGAGGAGCACCGTGTCGTTAGGGTCAGGGTTAGGGTTAGGGTTCGGGTTCGGGTTAGTTAGGGTTAGGGTTAGAGGATATCAGGGTAAGTCAGAGAGTTCAAGCCGCGCGTTGTGCAGCTCCTAAGAGAATGGTCCGGTTTGGGCCGAAACCAAATGGAGGAATCAGCGGTCTGTCGACACGAGCTCTCGGTGAATGCTTTGGGTTCGTCGGGTTAGGGTTAGGGTTAGGGTTAGGGTTGGTTGTCGTCGCGCGCTCTCGATATCTGGCTAAGATAGAGACACAGGCAGCAGAGGCGACCCAAGCGACACATCAGAGCACGGCCGGGGGCGCGAGCCGCCATCTTGGACTGTGAGGCGAGTATTTGCCACCGCGGGAGCTCGCCGCCGCCCCTACACCGCCGCGGCGGCCCTCCCGAGGCCAGATAATAGCCCAAGTCGAAGATTGCGCCCCGCCCTCGGTATCTGGGTGGCAGGCGGGACTAGAGAGGCACGCCAGAGCACAGTTGGGGGCGCGAGCCGCCATCTTGGACTGTGAGGCGAGTATTTGCCACCGGGAGCTCGCCGCCGCCCCTACACCGCCGCCGCCGCCCTCCCGAGGCCAGATAATAGCCCAAGTCGAAGATTGCGCCCCGCCCTCGGTATCAGGGTGGCAGGCGGGACTAGAGAGGCACGCTGGTGCAAAATAGCCCAAGTCGATGAGTGTGCCCCGGCCGGCCACGTGAAGTTCAGTCAAACGCCCCCCCCCCCCTAACTCATAAGTGGAAACTCAATATTTCAATGAGAAGGTTGTGAATAGTGTAATCTTTGTTCTTTCCGTTACTTTCCCGACTTTTCGCCCCCGAAAATCGGCACATTTGGCGGGCCAGATGGACCACGGGTCGGTTACGATTCACGGAGACGTCACTTGCGTACATCATTCTCCTCCCCCCCCGCCCCCTCCCCCTCCGACCCATTAGCTACTATAGCTTGCCGGAACACGTTGCAACCTCCCGCCTCGACCGAGTGGCTCTCGTGGCCACCATCCCGCGGAAGCGATATCCTCGGCGGTACACAGCAACTAACGAAGAACCTGCCACCAACCAGCCGGGCGTTCGAACGAGAAAAACGTCAGTAGTAGTCGTCGTCGTCGTCGTCTGACTCTGCCCCTCCCACGCCGCGCGCCGGGATGTGGGGCTCGAGCGACGCGTCCACCGACTCAAACTCGGCCCTCGCCTCCGCAACCTCAGCGCCACTAGCTTCAAGCGCCAGCGCGGCGCGGTGTCCCTTTTCGATGTGTGCGCGTACCTGCCGACAGGGGGTGCTGCGTGGGCCCTGGCACGTGGACACAGCGCGGCGGCGGCGGCGGCGGGGCACCTTCAACGCAGCAGCGGTGCGCATAGCCTTGATCTTCTGAGCGGAGGCGGCGGTCGACATTCCCCGCAGCGTGTTCGCCACAAGCCGAAGCAGCCTGGAGGGGAGCAACAAGGGAGAGGGACGTGCGCGTTCCCTCCCTCTCACCGCCGTGGCAGGGTCTAGGGACCGAATCTCCTCGAGAGGGCGACCAGCAGCCGCTCGCCGAGCTGCCGCAGCTCATTCGGCAGCCTACGGAGGAGAGGTGGGCCTCGGTCGCCGCGAAAGGAGGGGGCACCAACGGCGCTGGGGCGGCCGCAAGGGCGG